AAACAACACATTCGTAAGCCCCGTCGGCCTGTGCTCTTTAACCGACCTCCATCTTTTATTTTTAATATTTAACTAACACTTGAATTTAGGATCAAAAGGAACTGATCATAGAATATATCTGAACATATCATATTAGTACGCCGAGGATATGGAATCACACTTGAATTTAAGACCAAAATTCAGTTTATGTATTTTGTAAAACGACTCTATGTATCATCGAACTTAATAGGTTTTAATTATATAACCAGAGGTGCTAATATCAACTGTTAGCTTTATAAGGTTATACAATTAAAACACAAATGAAAGAGTCACTAACCTGATTCCAATGGTTGCCATGGAAGTCGAACACAAAAGTAGCAGAGCACGGCAACACCAAGATCTTCTATAAACACATAGCCAGATACAACTACTCTATGGGAAGTGTTATGTTATGTGTTCTAGGGCTTATAGGACCAGTGTTTTATATAGGCTAAAAGTTAGGGTTTCCATCCATAAAAGGAAACCTAAACCTAGTTTATTAGCCTCCAAGTCAAGTATCATAATCATATTCAATTAAAGATTTCATCAATCTTATTTCCAATATAAGACATCTTGTATAGAATTGATATCCTTAAGAGATTAAATCACAATCAATATTATTCTTTAATATTACATTCCTATTACATGTAGTAGATCACTTAAAGGTTGATTTATATCGGATAAATCCAACATTCGGATGAACCCATTCAATTCTCTAATTTCCTTTTATCCTTCGTTAATTTTAGAAAAATTAAAACATTTGTAACTGGATGGATTCTTCCAGTTTTCTCTCTTCCTTTTATACTTTGTTAAATCTCCAGAAAAGACAAATTTGTTGTATCTCTCCAATTGCCTTTAATTTTGTACTGTGTTTTTCTCTTGCGTAAAAAGTTACGTGATCACCTCCGGTACTAAAAGTATAACCTAGCTAAATGATATTACAAATTTACCACCATACTTCACTTTTAACGCTTTCAATGTGAATGTATTCCATCTGTTAATCTGCTTTAAATTTGAGAAATTTAACGAAAAATTTTAGGTATTATTTATTTCAACGAAAAATCATATTTTTATACTAAAAAGTTAATCATGGTATTATTCATTTTACCCTTTTTTTTGTCCTTATCATTAAAATTCAAAGTTTTTAAACTCTTTTCATTAGTTTTTCTTTAGAAATTTTAGTATTGCCCCTTAGAGCACTTTTTAAACTGATGTGTCTGCTTGACTATGATCACGAATTGAGTGAAATTTCCCATAATATTTTTAAACTAGAAATGAATGATTAACTGTAATTTATTACCAATTATCTTTCTTATTTTATAAAATAAAAAATAAACCGGAACGGACCTGATTAAAAATTAAACAAAAATACCGAAATGGGATTCTTCTCAGTCCATGGAGACAATTTGTCAATCATCAGAAGTCAAATGCTCCAATCTCACCCAATCACTGCCAGACTGTCTTTTCGTTCCTAATTGATTATAATTGATTTTGTATGAACCTCCATTGTATTTTCTTAATTTTCAAAATAATTACATAAAAATGATTTTAAAATGTCTTCAAGATTTAAACCCAAAACTTCAAAGTAAAAAACAACTTGTTGAACTAGACTAAACAACTACTTTTGGTATGCACTATCTTTATTAATATATATTTAATCCACTCTCAGATCACTGTCCGTCAACGACTTCAAAAAAATCATGTAAAATGTTAAAAGTTCTCTAATTTTATTACATATACATGTGAAATCAACAATTTGCACTGCCTAAAGCAACCACATGTAATTTATCTGTTGAATATAGTCTCACACGTCACTCTCAAGTCTTCCAATAGTCTTCATTTTTGTATTTTCTATAATAAAATGCCCCGGTGGGCGGAAAAAGAATTTTAGTCATCGGAAAAATATTCCAGCCGGAAAAAATTCCGTTGACTGGAACAATATTCCAGAGGAATTTCGGCCGCCAGAAAATTTTGCGATGACCTTCTCCAGCGGATAAGGTAGTTGGGCTTGGAACTTTGGAAATGGGGTAGAATAAGATTTTGAAAGTTTGAATATAGAGGAGAAATCTGGAGTGTTGAACCTAAACTTGTGTGACATCCACATCGCCCAGGGGTGATCCTTAAATGTATATTCCTATCCCTACCTAGCACGAGACCTTTTGGGAGCTCACTGGCTTCGGGTTCCGTAAGAACTCCGAAGTTAAGCGAGTAGCACGCGAGAGCATTCCCAGGATGGGTGACCCATCGGGAAGTTCTCGTGTGAGTTCCCAGAAACAAAACCGTGAGGGCGTGGTCGGGGCCTAAAACGGACAATATCGTGCTACGGTGGTGGATCGGGCTCGGGTTGTGGTGGGGGCCCGGGCCGGGATGTGACAACTTGGATCCTCAAACTAACATTAAAATGAGGCTGCATTTCAGCATTTGGGTAACCAATTTGGCTTCGACGAAATCCGACGTCGGAACCAAGAAATCTGCAAGAGTATCTACTTTCTAGGGAAAGAAAAGAAGAGAAAACCAGTGCATGTAATATGAGATTGGTAAAAGAATGTCTCCTCCAGCAACAGAAGTGTTATTACAAATTATGGAGGATCCTAGTACCCAACCACAAGTTCAATGTATAGAAAAACTGCTTCTGAATCAGAAAACGAAGACAACTAATCAAAGTTTACTAATTCCACAGCGACCAAATAGCCCGAAAACAAATTATCATCCCAAACTTGACCTCGTGACCTCATATGCCAAGAAGCATGCTGCGTTAGCTGGAACACTTCTAGCCATAGCTGGTCCAAAGCCCTTATAGAGGCCTTTGACTCCCTCTGAGGCAAGAATCTTTTTAAAGGCATCAACTGACCCCGAATACTTGGGATTTTTGAAATCATCTACCTGAAGTACACTCTTGACAACATCAGTTGGGTAGACGGAAGCCCAGAAGGCTGCTCCCCCCAATCCTCCAGCTACAATCAGAGATCCTCTTCCCAACCCGGAAGTGTCCTGGCCTCCAGCAAAGAACTGCTTGAGGGCTTCATAGACACCAAACATTGCAGCATTTCCAGGTATTTCTCGTGCCATAGTAGGAACCAAGCCCTTGAACAGACCCCTCGCACCACCTTCCGACCTAAGTACCTGCTTGGCCACATCCAACGGCCCTCCATACTTCACTGCACCACTCACTGAGCCAGCGTCCCCCAATGCACTCTGGGCTTGCAGCCTGTTCTACCATGAAATCCAAACAGAATGTACGTAAGGATTCCTATTTCCTTATTGAAATGGCAAAGTGATGAAATTTAAATTTAAACTTTTTTCACTAAAAAGCTAATTTTAATGATACGAATCAATCTGTACATACAAACCTTACACCTTGATTGAAAAACAAAATAAAAGGAAAGGAATAGGTTAAGGTGTTTAACATTTCCTTCAAGGAACAAAACTAGTATAGAGTGGCTACAGATATATTGAGCAAGTGCCAAATAGAGAATGCAGGCATGAGAATGAACCAAACTTCAGGTTTCGATAATGTATTGAAAATTGGAATCGTGTTCAATTTTAAATAGAAAATAGCCATTACACTGACCTGCACTTGATCAACTCAGTGGGGCATGCCAGAAAGGACACAGCTACTCCAGCCCCTGCCCCACAAATGACCTGCTGGCTAACTGTAAGCGGGGCACCAGGTTGAGACCTCAATAATGTCTCCATCTGCCCCCTTGCTGTGAAGAGGACAGCATTGAAGGCAGCAACAGTGGCAAGTGGAGCTCCCATTCCTTTGTAGAGACCCCCTGCTCCCTCAGCAGTTACTGTCTGCTTGACAGCATCAAAAGCACCTGAGAACTTCGGAGGTTGTCCTGGGAGCGGAGTAGGCTGGCTTTGCAGTTTAACCTTTATGGTATCAAATGGGTGGCCAACTACTAACTGCGCTGCCCCTCCAACAGTCCCAGCTGCTAAGTCCTTAACTACTTCCCCCATCTGCATTTTCAGAATTAGAAAACCCAAAAAGTTAACTTTTGGTATATGAATATGCTACACAAGGACCTTGCTGATAAGTTTGATGGAACAATGGTTCTCCTAAAAGTTATCAATCTATAGCCAGAGGCCAAAAAGATTTCAATGCTTAAAACAGAAAGCTTTTTGAAACATCACCTTATCATACACGACTGCCCATGTGTATCTCTGTGTGGGTGCGTGTGTGAAATTCTAGATATAATATCGATTCATGACAAGCGGAATAATATGTGGAAAGTAGGTCTTTTGATTGTTGTAAGACTCTGGTATGTATTGTTGTAAGACTCTGGTATGTCATATTCATAGAGAAATTTAGGGAACGAAAAGAGGTAGTGCTACACAAACTTCTAGTAGTTTGTGACATTTAGAAAACGAAGATCAACCATCGATTCTTCTCCACCTTCAGATTTGCGGTTTTTAACATTTTAATCTCAACCTTTGATAAGAAATCCGATAGCTGATGATTATAATCCTTGGTCACCCAGTGACAAGAGAACCAGACTCGATTAACAACAGTGGCTGAAATGGAATCTATATTGTAAATTATCAAAATGCTCCAATTTTGCAGCTTGTTCAATCTCAATATGAGTCGCATGATAAGCAATCAAAGGCAATCGCATTGGACAGAATTAACACTTTGAAGCAGAAAAAAGGGGAAGAATCTTACTTGACAAATAATTGGCGGCACCCAAAATCAAAGGAAGAGCTCTCAAGAGTCCAAGATGGTCCAATCTGCAAAAACCCAAGACCCATTAGATCCATTAAATAGAATCTGTGAAACCAAAAAACCCAAAACATGAAAAACCAAAGCGGGTAAAGAAAGAATACCAGAAATTCAGAAAAAGGATTTCGGTGAATGTTGAAATTGTACGAGGACGAGAATCTGTGAATAATAAGGGAAGGAAATGAATCTTGGGGGATATCAGAACCACATACACAAACCAACCACCAGCTCTGTTACTGGGTGGGGTGTGAACTGGAAGAGAGAGAGAGAGAGAGAGAGAGTAGGTGTGGTTGAGAGAGAGAGGGAGTGGATTCACATTCAGATGAGGACGCAGTGGTTGGGCAAAAACGAGGTGTCAAAAAGCCAATCACAGCCACTCTCTCTTGTTCTCTCCGATTGAATTTCCAAGTGTGTTGGGAGCTTATATTTATACGCAACAAACAAGTGAATATGTCTGTATCATGACTCGACCCTCCGAATTCAGCCAATTTCGGTTGAATTCGAATTTGGAAAAATAGGCTAAGAAGAAAAACATAGCGCAGCACCTACTCTATCACGAAAATACAGCCTCCTATGTTTTATTTTGCTCTCATTCAACTTTCTAACCTTATCAAATGTATGCTGCCCCTACCCGGGTCAGTATAGAAAATTGTCCCTCCCTTTCCACGCTCGTAATTTCTTCGTTTTAATTTGGGATTAGGCGTTATTTGCACGCGTCTGAAATCAAGTTCTATCCATCTATTCTAAACTCACATTCACACATCAAAGTGAAATTTAAAATGACCAAAACGCCTGAAATTGTTTTTTCAAATACGTAAAATAAATGAATAATAAATTCCGAAACATTTTTTTTATGCTTCTTTCCTTAATACGCAAATACATTTGTTTTGGAACCACATCCAACAACTTTCTACTTATATATTTAAATTAGAAAACAATGCAAGCTTATTTAGTTCTTTCACAAAACCGATTAAGATGATACTACCGTCTACAATGCGGTAAGCACCGTATCAACAATTATAAAGTATGAAGACATCAACCTCTTCATTTTATATTTTTATTACTCTTAGTTCAACATATAACTCTACTCTTAATCCAATATATAACGCAACAATAAATAGATTACCGAGGAAGATGGCGATTTTCATGTAAAAACTATGCAAAGAAGTTATCTGAATAAATTAATGTCGTTTTTTCGTCTGTTTTTTGGTTTGTACAGTAAGCTGCTCTCATCAGGTCAGTTTGGTCTTCTTATGATGCTTGTCCATGCTATTTGGCGAGCCAGGAGCCCTCTCTTACGGGATGACAAAGGTGAAGGCCCTGCTCTCGTGAGTTATCTTGCAGGCCTTCGTCTCTCTGATTTTATTAAAGCTCGCCAATAATCTCTCAAGCCAGGCCACTTCAGTCTCTTCCTCGCTGGCCTCCTCCCCAACCGCGATGGATCAAAATTAGTGTTGATGGTGCTTTCTGTGCTGCTACAAATATAGGGGATGTCGTGTGATATTTCGCGACAAAACCGGTAACTGTGCCGGAGATTTTGCTCGCAAAGTATCTCATGCGACTTCCCCAAGATGAGCGAGGTCTTTGCAGCTCGAGATGGTGTTTGCCTGGCCTTGGAGCGAAACTGGCAGCAAGTTATCCTGGAATGTTATGCTTTGCAGATGGTCCAATCTCTTGGAAGTCTGCATGTATGGTGGCTCTTCCGCTTTTGACTTGCTGGTTAAAGACATTAAAACTAGCCTATGGAGTTTTGTTGCATCAAAAGTTTGTCAGATTCGTAGGTCAGCAAATGTAACAGCATATAGAATGGCCAAGTTGGCCTTAATTTCCAACTTTACGAGTTGTTGGTTCGGGAGGCCCCGAAACTACTCTACGATGTCCTCCTTGAGAATTGTATGCTTTCTTCACATTGAATAAAACTGCTATCATTTCTTATATAAAAAAAAAAAAGAGATTAAACCATGAATCTCAAAAAATAGAGATTAAACCATGAAAAGAGACTAGTTAGCACACCTAAAAGCGGATGACAGTTTTTTAATCTTTTCTCTTATTATGCATTTAAAATGACTTTTACTATATAACAAGTATCCTTCTCTTAAATTTCCTATAACTTATCAACTTCAAAGAAAATTATATGACATAAGAATATAGTTTAAACTGTGATTTTTCATAATATTGACTAATTCCTTCAAAAATATATTGTAGGATGTTTCCGCTGTATGCAGAGCAACCATTATACGTTTTGATACAGGGAACGACTAGTGGTACAAAGCATGTTCATCTTGCCACAAACAACTGAGAACCGCTTCCCATAGTGATAAACTGATTTGTCCGAACCATCCCACAAAGAATCATACTCCTCTTCCTTGGTAATACAAAAACTCATAATCATTTTCATCTACTGTTTTATAATGTTAAAACACAACTATGTCTCATTATAAACCATTGTATGTAGGTTCAAAAGACGTTTGGTTCTTGAAGACAAAAGTGATGAAACTAATGCGATGATAATTAGAAACAAGCAGGGCAATTGTTTGGAGTATCCTGCTACGATTTGTGGTTGAAAAAAGTTTCACTAGCCAACAAGAACTTCCAGATGCAATCCTTCATGCGCGAGGCCAGTGTAAAAATTTCCAACTTCGGTTTGGCACCACGAAAGGTGATTTTAGCAGAAATGAACTTATCCAGTCGATCTTTGATGACGAAGTCCCGCTTCTTGAATCAAGTTCTAGCATATGTGATCAAACAGTGGTTGAACATGAAAAGAATGATGCAATTGTTCCTACAACTGCACCACTTCTCTCAAAAGAAGCTTCAGCAACACAACTTACCATGTCAAGCAGCTCCCCTTCAAAAGATCACGCTTCCAATTTAGGAAAGAGAGCCAGACAAGGTGAAAAACGATCTTGTCGGTTCTCTTAAGCAAACGCAAAAATATAAATTTAAAAGGTTAAGATGCATATAACCATTTACTGTTTACACTAATACTTTGTATTATTCAATATTTACTAACCCCCTACTTTGCTATATATTCCGCATCTATAAAAGAGATACTGCAACTTCCATTGCACAAGCACCAGGGGAAAGTGCAACCGCAGACATCACATCTTCTTTTCCCGAAAGAGAGAGTACACCTTCTTCCATTTTCATATTATTCATTTCACTTCAAAGTGATCTTCAAACAAAATTTTCCATTTAATCTTTGATCATCCAAATATATATAGTTTCTTTGATTCACAAAGTAGCTTATTAGTAGGGAACTTAATCTCTTGTTTATCAAATTTAGCAACAATCTTTGATCATCCAAATATATATAGTTTCTTTGATTCACAAAGTAGCTTATTAGTAGGGAACTTAATCTCTTGTTTACCAAATTTAGCCACAAATAAAAAGGTAAAATAAAAAACATTTATATGTAGATTTTTGAGCATCATATGGCTCGCTTTTAGGGTGCCGAAATTATATTACACAGTGACATAGGGGGACCAAAGTGACCAACAACAAATATAGGATAAATAAGATAATTGCATGCCACCATGCATAGATTTTTTGTTCCCCTGTATATTGCATTACACATCAGAAAGAATATAACATATTGCACCTCTGAGATATATTTGACACATATATACTTTCCCATTTTTTTTCTTATATGTCTTAACGTTTTGACTTAAATTTAACAATCCACGCTAACAGCTTCCCTTTTCAAAAATTGTAGCAATCAACTGGAAACTTTGCAGAGAAAAATTTAGAAGAGAAAACAGTTGTATGTCATGAAGATAAAGAAAAAATTGATTTTTCAAAACCCACTAAAACAAGCGACGAGCCTAAGAACAGTGAAGTAGAAAATTTAGTCATGAAAAAGAGAGCATGTGAATCATTTTTGTTGTCATATTATCTTAATGTAAAGTCACTAGAATGTAGGTGCAAAGTGAACAAATTGATAAATTAGACAATTTTAAAAATTGTATATAACTAAAATTTAGATGTTCGTTCTTTTTATTGTACATAAATAAGCTCTTAATGTAAAGTCAATATAAATCTGTCTTGTACATATTCTACTACTTCAGTAATAAACAAAACTATTTTCGATGTTTCCGGTTATTCATTTACTCATCCTAATTGTATTTATGACATTTTTAACTCAAAACAATACATATGTGATGAAGCTACAGTTTATAACTTCAGGGCATTCTTACTAGTTTGCAACTACAAGAGCTTTTCCACACCTTCGCCACGTGAGGCAACAAACTACAGGATGGCTTGTGACGTGTCCTTAATCGGTCAACCAAAAAAGGAGGGAATGCATGACGGCTCTGCGTGGAAGGCTTGCAGAGAAGCAGTCTGATAAAAACCTTATACCAGCTCTTTTATTTGTTTTTTGTATTTTATTTTAGGAAAAATTAGGTTTTCATCTTTCCTTTTACTATTTTATTGATTAAAATCTTATACATTTTTAATTTTTTATCATGGTCATGGGGTATTAATAACATCATTAATTATTTTAATAATAAAATATTTTTTATTTCTAAATATATTCATTTAGTGTTAAAAATGTTACAATTAGTATATTTATATTTATGGCTACATTTTTATCATATATTTTTATTTTTAGTTTGTACCCATTTTTAATATGCAAATCTTTTTTAATTTGCACCAATTTTCTTTTCAGTTTTAATTTGTATCCATATGTTAATTTCTTTTTGTTCCCATATGTTTTAAAATTTTATTTGTATTTGTGCCCATGTGTTTACCGCCACGTGACATTGTATAATTAATCAATGATAGAAAAATTACATATGGTATATTTATGTTTTATGACTAAACTTTGTATCATATATTTATATTTTTAGTTTGTACTCACTTTTAATTTGCAACCTTCTTTTAAATTTGTAGTATTTTCTTTTTAGTTTTAATTTGTACCCATCTATTAATTTCTTTTTGCGCCCTTATTTTTTAAAATTTCATTTGTACTCATAATTTTTTTATCTTTTATTATACCCTAATTTATTTATAATGTACTCATTCTTCTTTATTAATGTACCGCTTTGTCATATGTGAAATGTACCAATTTTTTTAACACTATGGATACATTCTTTTGCCATTTATTATTTCTTATTTTTACATAATTTTTATCCATTTATTCAATCAAAATGTCTGAATTTTTTTATTGTAGCCATTTCTAATATTATAATGAGGGATTTTAAATTTATAGGATTATAAATCTCATAAAATATCAACAATTAATGTCAAAACTATAAAAATATAAATATTAATAGTAATATAATGAGGTGTGCAAAGTCAAGGGGCTTTGATCAAACTTTGAATACCATTAAGGTTTTAGTCAAAGAGTGTTAGAGACTAAGGACCGCATCCAGAGTATCCCTTTATTTTATTTCTCTGGGTCGTCTTCGCTGCAAAACTAGCTAGCTTCAACCTTCAACCTTGATTATACAACTTAATTATACAAGAGCTTATTCAAATCCAATTTTAGAACTCTTGATTTAAATATTTTTATATGAGAAAAGCTACCTACAACATCATTGTGGATGCAAATTTCCGCCTTCTTCTTCTTCTTGGACAAAAATGTACTTGTAAAACAATTAACACCTAGGATCAAGGCCAAAAGCCTCACGTGCCCACGATGAATAGGGGGGCTTTG